ATAATATTTGCTTAAAAACAAAACTTCCACGTTATGTGCACATTCTTTGGTAGTATATCCCTCGAGAATTTGAAAATATATATATATTTTTCTTTTTTATGACAAAAGTTTTCAAAATTTCGTGTTTTTTTTTCGTTCTTTTTTTTATAAATTCGTTCTGCTATGAGCAGTCTTGTCTTTATTTAGTCGCAAGTTTCTTAAAAAAATTAGTACTTATTTTTTCTTTCGCCTCAATTTGCTGCTATTAAAGAATAGAAAACTGGTAAAAAGCGCGTTTTCATAAACCCACGTTGGGCGAACTGATAGATAATTTTCAAGTTACTGTAAACACAAAAGTTAGAATCACAGGTGAAATTTATATTTTTTATTTTGAGCGCGGGACATCAATAAACTTTAATTGACTTTAAAAAGTTTTCACGCCAAACTTAGTGAGATAAAATTTTAAGTTTGGCTTGAATAAAAACAGCCACCCAAAGGACAAAAAATGCCTCTTTTTTTTCAAAATTTATGCTTTATACTTTTTACTTTTACCTTAAATGGATGCAATTAAATGAGTCGCATTTTAAGTTAAGACAGAAATTGGCTGATCCAACAGAAAAAAGGTATTAGAGCAAAGCAAAACCCAAGAGCAGAACAAATGAAATCTGATAGTTCAAAACAAATTGACTTTCCAAATGTAACTCTTACAACAAGTCCACCTTATGGAAGAATATAGTCCAGATATTGCTTTTGCAAGCCATGCTTGAGCAGCTTAACGGCCATAACTTCACTGCTATGATCTGGGAGTCAGGATGAAAGACTTTACAAAACTAGTGCGCTGCAAATGCTTAAAAGTGGAGCAAAAATGTTGGAGTTCAAATAGAGCCCAAACGTTGTAAAAAATCACAGTTTTTATTGGACTATTTTATTGATGAAATTCTTCAAGGGGCACTTCATGAAGCGTTTCGTTGTACATTGCAGCTGTCGTCATACCTAGCTGTCGCCAGAAGTTGTTTTAAAAAAATACGGCGGAGGAGTTTGACCCCGTCAAAGCCCAAAGGGTATTTTTTACTTTTGCTTCTATTTTATGACATATGGCCGAGCAACCCTAAAATTTTTTAAAGCTGAATTCGGCGTCAAAATATGCTTCTTTTTACGGAGAACGTAAATTTTTGTTCAAACTTTTCGAAAAAAGTCCAACAACAGAATTTTTTATTTTGGATTTTACACCATTTACGATATTGCCTGGGGAAAATATTTCGCCAAATAGAGTCTTTTGCAATAACAGAAAATATAACAAAATTGGGCAAAATTGCCATAATTAAGAGAAATCGGAAGATCAATTTGAATAGTTATGATCCATTGATTTTTCCCAGTGCAAGGAGTTCTTCTGGAAATTCCTTTTAGTCTATATTTTTGGTACTTTTTGTTTACCCGGCTGATTGACTTGTGGTCTGCAGCTTTATGGACCATTTGGTTTGATCAATCACATTTTTCGATGCGTTGAAAGAGCATTACTTTCAGTCATAAATCCACCGCTGCAAGGTCCATATAACATTCATAAGGCTGATTATAAAAAGCCCGCAAGGAAGTCCTTGGAGCATAAAATCAGCCCTGATGGAAATATGCGAAATGAAAAAACGTATAAGTGGTACACAGATGAAAGAAAAACTTAATCAATGAATTAAGATTATCAAGTAAAAGATTATCCAGAATTGAAGATTATTATCTCATATTTGCCCAGATGCAGTTTTCAGTTGATGACTTCAATTCGAATTTGTACAGAAAAAGTTGAATTTTATTTAAAAAGTCAACTAGCTTAAAAGAACATTGTATTCGTTCACATTGGGCTTCAAAATGAAGCTGTTGAGTAACTTGGTTGTTGCAGTGGCTTTAAAATTAATTTTCATTTAACTAACTGATTATAACACAATGTCACGTGGCCATCCGACGTCTTAGGTTGTTGTTTCCATAAAAAACTTGCTGTTTTTTCATTTCAGCTGTTTTTGATTAGGCGCCCAGTAAAATCGATGGAGAGACAAAACGAATTAAAAATCAAATTCACACTGACTTCTTTGTTATATAGTAAAAAAATGAATTATGAATTTTTTCAAACAAATTTGTCTTGTGCCATAACCAAATTTTAAAAACAGAAAGACTTTTAAAATATTTCGGTTGCCTCTTAGAGTAATTGGTTTGAAAGCGCAGCTGAGGAAATCTAACGTTGATTTAAGCAAAAAGTCGAGAAAAATTGTTATATAATTTTTTTATTATTATAATAATAACGAGGTTGTGAATGACCCACCTGCGGGCTGTGCATTGATGGCGGCGCTGGTCATAATTGCGTCATATATGCCACAGAAACAGATGAGAATCACGACAAGAGGCAGGAAATAGCAGATGGTCACTAGCCCCAAGTACAGTCCCAGCTGCAATCCCCGGGACCAGTTGTCCAAACAGAAGCACTGGTCTTCCGCTGGCCAACAGCTGAACAGCTTATGCACTGGAATTATCAAAGCTCCTATAACAAACAATAACCAGTTCACATACTCTGCTTTTTTTAATGCGAAGAATGCCCACATAGTGTGACTAATCTACGAATTTGGCCAAGTAGGGCAAGTTTGAGAGGAGGATCCATTTACAAAAAACTGTCAAAATTTAATCGATGTCTCACTTTAATTGATACCTCCGCTTTTCAACAGTTCGCGCTTACTTTTTTTAGTATTGTGAATAAATTTTTTAAAACGCGTTTAAATTAGCAAAAAAATGGCTGCCGAGATTTTATTTCAAACTCATATAGTTTTTAGAAAATTAACAGTAAAAACGTCAAAATGTTCCTTGGATTATATAAAAAAAAAATTAAAGTGCTAACTCGGTAACCAAAATCTGGCTATCCGCACTGGAACTCTATGAATAAAAATCGATTAAATTGAGTTTTATTGACAGTGTCTAGAATAGAGTGAAAATCATTGATTAATATTAATTCAAAATAGAATTTTTTTGTTTTTATTTGAAAAACTATTAAAATCCATTGCAAATTAATCATATAACATATATTTTCCCTTTTTATAGTTGAAATTTTATTATAATCAAGTTTTTCAACTTTATTGAGATCAAGTTTCAACGCACACTTAATAGTCTTCAAATTTAAAGTCAAGTTGGTTAGTTGCTGATCAATTTCAATTTTTCTGCGCAACTTTTTTTTAACTCATTTTTGTTACTAAATTTGGTTTCTTCAGTCAATTTCTTATTTTACTTAGACTTTTTAGGGGCGAGGGTTGAGAAGGAGGGCTGTTGAAAAAGAGGTTTAAAGGAGGGGGTGTGTTTGAATGGGTGAGTTGAATGTATATAAAGACTAGTGAAAACCTTCCGAAAACTGCCAAAATGGCATTGTTGACCTGTATTTAAAACATTACAACAGAATCTGTCGAAAACATTGAAAGGGAGGGTTTGAACAATTCTACACGGGGTGGAGGAGAGTTGGCTCTAGTGGGAAGAATTTTTGGCAGTGTGGGACAAAGGGTTAAATGTTGGGGGGATGGGTTGGTAAGGGGCACAACGGCAAACGTGAGGAAGTGATGGAGTCGTTTTGCTATTTGAGAAGGCTTAGGTTTTAAAATTGAGTCAGTCGTACACCCATTTTGCAAACTTCTGCATTACTCGTTAGATAAATGCAGTTATTTTGCTCGACGGAAAAGAAAAATTAAATGAAAAAATCAAAATCAAATTTATTGACTTTAAATCGATTATAATTGATATGAAATTTGATAAGAACAATGGATTATCATTAACTTTTTAATCTATTTTGTTGTGTGAGGGCAACATCGGAACTGATTAGATTGATTACACTTAAGACCGCAAAACTCGATTATACATCAATTCTTTTCACTTCTTTGAGATGCGGGTAGGTCTGATTTGACAAAGTCTGAAAAATACCATGCCGAGAATTTAAAAATAACTCCCAAAAAAAGTAATTTAGAGCGACAAAAAATTGTTTATTACAGTTTAGTTCAGCCTAAGTGTTGGCTTTGGTGATTAACATATCTCTTGACTGTTTTGGGATCTTTATCTCTTATTTATGAATTCTTTGCTTGATTGTTAACTGGTGCCAGAGCGATGTCCAAACGAAACGATTTAACCATATTTTTTGTGATTCCAAAGAAAATCTTCCTGCTAAATCTCTTTGAGTAAAACATAATTTTGGCAACTGTTAGTAGTTACACTGGCAATTGTAAAATTACACAAGAAATCTGCGCTTTAAACTTTAAAAAAAAAATCGCTCAAAAACATCTGAAATTCAATCTTGAAAATTGATTTTGATGGCAAAACAAGGAACCCAAACCTTCAGTTCTGTCCTAACTTTCATGATCAGACTGCTTGGTCAAACCATAAAATTCAAACGCTAGAAATTTAGGAAGGCACAAAAGGCGAAAACAGTTCATCAATTTTGTTTTTTGAAAATTTAAACAAAAAAATTTTGATCAAACCTTTTTTTTTTTAAATCTATCAAAATCTTGAAACGTTTTTTGTTAAAACTATCAAAAACTGTTAAACAGTTACAACTGTTTTCGCCAATTTAATCAATTTAAATCAATTCCGGCACAAAAGTATATAAACAAAAAGAGTTACAGCGAGCTAAATTGTTTTATTTATTGGGAAGAAAAAATGATCAATTTAAGGTTTCAAATGCGTCTGAGAGGAAAGTCTTGTTGAGGCGAGCTAAATGATTGTTTCCATTTTCGAAGAAATAGAGGAATACATATGCTTGGGGTGGTTTTTTAAAAGTTCCTTTTTTTAGAAAAAATTGTGCCTTGTGGATCTATCTCTTGATTGATCTACCTCACCAGTGCGTCCGGGTTTGCACACCACAATAGTAACCTGCCATAAATCTGCACTACAAAACGTTCCAAATTGAGTTGAGGCAGCTAATTTTTCTTGAACATTTGCTATTTTAAAAATTGATTTTATGTCAAAAACATCTGTAAAAATGTAATTTTTTCTGCACAAAAATTTTTAGAAAAAGGGTTGAGGCGAACTAAAATCTTCTTACCAATGCGTAACAATACGCGAAAATTATCGGACCCTAGAAAATTATCAATTTAAGTTTCCAAAATCGTCTGGGGGAAAATGTAAATTTTTTGTTGAGGCGAACTAAATTGGTCTTATGAATACGTAACTAGACGCCGAACTTATTAGAGGCTAAATAAATTATCACTTTTTTTTGAATAACGGCTGCCAGAGGCGGATCTAGGATTTTTCTCGAGGGGAGGGGTTGTGAATTTTCAAAAAGTTGTTTTTTTTAAAGTTTTTTAGGTGATCAAATAGATTTTTTTGAGCTCTCCCAAATCACCGTAATGACTCTGTTTTGACTGAAACTTCTGCGTCGTAGGCAAAGTTTTGAAAAAAAAACAGGCCAAAAAGATATTTTAGGCACTTTACAGAAAATGAAAATGTTGAGCAAAAAACACGCGTTTTTTGGCGCGCTCTCCCCTTGAAGAAAGTATATTAAAAAATTTAAGGGGTCGGTCAGACAAAAATGGTGGTCTTAAAAAAGTATCAAGGGGGAACCCTTTGCGTAGGCAGGAAGTCGAATCCCCGAGGAAGGAGTCCTCCCCTTATATCCGCCCCCTGCGTCCGAGAACAAAACTCAGATTTTTACTTTGTTTTTTTGTGTGAAAATTTCATCAGTTTTTTAATTCAAACTTTTGTATTTGACTATAAAAGGCAGTCGAAACGTGGGCTTCTCTCTGATACCAGAAGTCTTGTTTCGAGTTTGAACTCGAGGAAGAAATTACAATTTATAATACTTCACTGCGTAAGGGATAATATACATCAGGTTGATTTTGCTTTGCGTGGAGACCTGCTTTGAACTTCAATCGAATAAAGGAAAAAATCCAATATAAAGATAACTAAACGGATGAAATAACAAAATTTAATGTTGAAATCAAAGCTAGTCCCCTGAAGTAGTTTTGCGGATATCACTATTTTGTGATGAGAGATCAGTTTATCCTTCTGCTCTTCATTTTTTTTTCAATTTTCATACTTGGATTTTTTCATGATTGCAGTGATATTGCTTTTTCCCTCTTTGTTTTTTTGGCGAAATACTAAAGAAGTTTTTTACTTGGGTTGCAAGGCTCTATAATACTACAACTACCTGCTAGCCGTAGATATTAGCTTAATTTCATAATTAGTTATTCTGAAACGCCAAAAAAAAATTCTTTTGGAACCTGATCTAGACTACATTTTATGATTGGATAATTTAGATATTTTACCAATGTAAAGTATTTAATATTAACCAATCATGATCCATCTAACTAACAACCCACTTATTTGTAAGTGCTGAAGTTACTTGTAATTTCAGCACCAGAGAGATTTGAATTTAACTTAGAAATTAGTTGGACTCTCCCGAGCATTTCAGCAGCCGCAATAAACCAGTATACCCTAGATCTATTGAGCCTAGCAGAGACTAGTTAAACAACCTGAGACTAGATAGTATAAGAGTAAGATTAGGATCGGTATTAGACTAAGAAGTTGCACGAATCTATCCGGCCGAAAATAAGATAGCGTGACGAGCAGACGGTGTACCCTATCCGAAATTACTCTATGAGTTAACCAACTCGGTCCTAACTCATCTGGTGCGACCATAAGTCTCGAACAAGACCTTAATAGCTTAGAATTAACCAAAATAGATTAGAAATTAGACAAAAACATTTACAAAATGTTATACGACAATAATTTAATCGAAATGTCTCTACGACTCAATAGATCAGAGCCAATATTCCGAACCATAACAGAACTACCCGGAATTGGAAGAAGACCTCGAACCAGAGACGACATACGACAAAGTAGAAACTTGCCATATAGCTATATGATAGTTAGGCAAAAACCAGAACAAACTTTTATATTTAGAATACTACTAGCAATGAATTTAGATTTTCATTTGCAAACATAAAACCTTGAAGTTAATCTTCAAAATCTTTTCAGGCGCTAAACAAAATTATTAATATACAATAACGATTGATAAAAAGATCTAAGATCGTTTTCCTAAAACTCTGCAGTAATATACAAAACATGTTTGAAAAATATTTATTGAAAAATAAAAATAAAAATTAGTAGCATGACAATAAATGGTTAGTAATCATAAATCATCCTGTTGTTCCAGCTCCATCATCTAAAACATAACAGCAATCATAAACCCACTAATATCATCAAAACACTAAATCTTTCCTTTACACACATTTAAAATTTTATTAAAACTTAAATTCACTTAATTTTAAAACCAGATCATCAAGGCTTATCCTTGGATCTTAAATCATTTTCTACTTAATTAAATTTCAAATTTGATCACCAAGGCTTATCCTTGGATCAAACAGAACAACTTTGTTCTCCCCCACCCACTTAATTAGTGTCTAACGACCTCAAACGTCGATTCACTACCCAACCCTTTCTAAAGACCTAAGACTAATAGAAATTTTTAAACAAAACTAATCATTCAAATTAGGATAAACAGTGAAGAACTTC